ATTTTAAAAAAAGAGAAAAGCAGCAAAATTATTAAAATTCCCTTTAAAGTTCATGGAAAGAGTTTCCAATAAGCTCTGTGGCCTAAAGCTTGTTTTGTTTTTTTAATAAATTAATTGATGGACTTTAATCTTTTGTTCTCCTCAATAAAAAGCACATTGAGACCCTTTAAATCAGATTTCGTGGCTCCCACTCCATAGAAACCCTTTCCTTCTCTTCCATCTTTGTGTTCCTGACTCACAAGGGACCTTTAAATTAACTCCCAGTGCAACAAGACCCAAAACTTCACCCATTTTTTTTTTTTTTAACATTGTTTAGCATGGTCAGGAAATAAAGGCAGAGCAAAGGAGGAAAATAAAAAAGGAAAAAGGGAGAGGAAGGCACATGAAACCTTCTCACTCCTGCATTCCCCATTCCTGTGCTGAACCCTCTCCCAGAAATCCATTGTCTGGATTTTCCCTGATATTTTCCAAAGCACAAGCAATGCCCATGTCAATAATCAATGGAAAATTCCCTTTTCCCTCCTGGCCACAGCACCATCCCATTAAGCAGCCTCAGAAGATTGTGACCTGAGCAGCCAAGGCAGAGCCTCCTGATCAATCCCTTAATCCACATGCACAGAATGGACTGATCCTGCTGCTCCCACTGCAGTCCAGGGAAAACCATTCCATAATTCACCATTAAATGGGCCTTGGATTACAACAACTTCAGCTGCTGGGAGCAGCTGAGCAGCGAGGCAGGATCCAGGAAAATCCAGGATGTTCCCTCTGGGTCTCCCCATTCCTACCCTGCAAATCACCCAAAGCATTTCCCAGCCTTGTCTTTCAGGGATATTTAAAGATGTTGGGTTTTTTTTTGTTTTTTTTTACACTGCAAATAAAGTCAAAAAATTGATGGCTGGAGTGGAAATCATTCCCAGGCTTCTCCCTCCAGGAAAAGTGCAATGCACAGGTTGCCATAATCTATGGAAAAAAAAGGGAATAAAGGCAAGAGGATGGGGAATTCTTGTCACCAGGAGGACTCTGCCCCACGGGGCACTGAAGGTGTTTCATGCCAAGAAGTGGTCAGGGGATCCTCAGTGAGCACAGGAGGACACAAAGGTCAGGAGCACCCTCTGCATCCAGAAATCTCTGATGGGAACCAGACCCAGAAATGCTCAGAGTGGGAAATTTGGGTTGGAAAATTTGGATCTTCCTCTTCTCCAAGATCCAAGATCCTTCCCTCTTCCAACACAAAGTGACTGCAAAGGAAGGGAGTGGAAGCACAGGTTTTCTGTGGGGTTTTACTCCACTGAGTAGGAACATCCTGCCCTGCACAGAACCACGAGGGGCCAAGGACAAAATCAGAGCAAATCGTGGAATCACAGAGAGATTTGGGCTGGAAGGGACCTTAAAGCTCCCCCAGGGCCACCCCAGCCATGGCAGGGACAGCCCCCACTGTGCCAGGGGCTCCAAACCCCAATGTCCAACCTGGGCATTTCCAGGGATCCAGGGGCAGCCACAGCAAATCTGGGAATTCCATCCCAGCCCCTCCCAGCCGGGAATTCCTTCCCAATATCCAAATCTCCATCCCTCTTGTCTTTAATTTAAAATATTCCCTCGTGTCCTATCACTGATCAGCAGTTTAGATTATCTCATTTAAGTTTGTCACGTTATTTTATAACACCAAACAACACAAAGGTCCAAAATTAGACCAGGATTAGAAATGCTTCCTCCAAAAACAAAGCTGCTCCTTCCCTTCCTAACCAAAGCCATGGATGGTTTCTAATCTCCACAGCAGGTAAACTCATTCCACAAAAAGCATTCCCAACCAAAAAATACGAGGTGCAACAGCACATTTATTATTTTAGTGTGAATTCCAGTTTCACTTCACTTTTCAATGAGCAGTTTGTGACCTGCCCCTCCTCTGCCTGCTCTGGGGCTGGGTTTTCCCTAAATCCTTGCTGGGCACTGGTGGTTTTAGTGGCAGGATGCAGGGTGCAGGGTGAGGTGATTATTCTATCTCTGCTGCTCAGTATCTGCAGGGTGTCTCGGTGCCACTCCAACTCCTTCAAGCCACTAAAGAGATTACAGCTCACACTAACTGGATTTGCACAGCTCTGGATCATTCACTTTGGATTCCTCCTGCCCAGATTAAGGGAGCCCATTAAAACAATAGTCAGCTGCTCTCCCTGCACAAGGTGTCTCAGGGAAAAAAAAACAAAACAACAAAAAAACCAACCCAAAACTCCATGTTTACATTCAGAGCCTGTGTGTGTTTAAACAAAACCCTCTTCCAGCAGGATCACTCCCAGTTCAAGGAATGATTCCACTAAAAAACCCCAGGATAATGCAAATTATATAGTTATAAAAGGACAATCGTGGTGGCTGGCAGTTTTAAGGAGCAGAGAGTTTGGAAAATTTTAAACAGCTTAAAAGAATGTGTGTCTTTGAAGATACTGCCTTCAAATGCATTCCAAAACCTATTTCTGGAAATAGAGAGAAATATAATTCCCTCAACATAGTCCACGAATTTAGCAGGGAAGCTCATTTGACAGCCATCACTAACTGACACTCTGAGCTACTGAATTTGAACACAAAACTTACATTTTGGTACTTAACACAAAAACTACTTAATGAATGACAAATAAATGGTTGCTCTGAACTAAAACCGATTTATTTCCCAGAGCCAGTGGTTGCCCAGCACCTCCTGCACAGTTTTGTTCCACACGTGTCCCATCCACGCTGGCTTTTCCAGCTGTCTGGGAGTGAAAGGAAAAGAAATCATCCCATATGCTGCTGCCTATTAAATAAATGGCCAGTCTTTTGAGTCCTAAAAGGGGATTTTTTAGCAAACAAAAAGAAAAACAAGGCCAACAGAGCTTAGACAACAATAGCAACAAATCTCGGTCAAAGGCAAGTGACCCTCGAGCTGCTCTGGGCATGTGCAGGGCTGAGTCCTTTCCAGGGAAAACCCTTCCTCTGCTTCCCATTAGCCTTTGGCTGACTTACTGGGAGCAAACTGGCCTGGACTGGCCTCTCAGCTGCCTCCTCCTGCCTGCCAGCAGAGCTGGGGGACTCCTCATCCATCACCCCACACACGCCCAGCAAGAGGGCAAAGCAGCAGGTTGTCATAATCTATGGGAAAAAAGGGAATAAACCCAGCAGGATGGGGAATTATTGTCATAAGGAACTCAGGGAATAAACCCAGCAGGATGGTGAATTATTGGCACAGGGAACTCTAGGAATAAACCCAGCAGGATGGTGAATTATTGGCACAGGGAACTCTAGGAATAAACCCAGCAGGATGGTGAATTATTGTCACAGGGAACTCTAGGAATAAACCCACCAGGATGGTGAATTATTGTCACAGGGAACTCTAGGAATAAACCCAGCAGGATGGTGAATTATTGACACAAAAACTCTGGGAATGAACTCACCAGGATGGTGAATTATTGTCATAAGGAACTCTGGGAATGAACTCACCAGGATGGTGAATTATTGGCACAAGGAGCTCTCTGCTCCATGGGCTGATGGATTCTGAATTCATGCCAAGAAGGGTTCAGGGCACTCTGGGCACTCAGTGCTGGATGCTCCCAGGATCCTTCCCTTGGGAACCAAGCCAGGCTGCTCAGCTCCTGCTCCACCAGGACACATCAGGATCCTGAGAGGCCAAGGGATTCAATCCCACTGCTCTGAGGTCACCCACAGACCCACCACTGCCACCAGGTGCCTTCTTCATCACCTCCTCTTGGCATTCTGGAGGTGGAAAGGAAGGCAAAATGAATGATAAATTAATTAATTAACCAACAGAAGAGGCATTCTGGTTTTATCATGGATAAGTGACTCCTTTCCCATGACCCTACACCCTAAAGATCCTGAAAAATTCACCTGGAGTACCCCAGGTTGGGCAAGGGGCTCAACTTGACATTGAATTTTAGAAGCTGCTCTTCAGGAAGTTACCAAAAGAAATCACTGGAACCCAAGAGTCCTACCAGGCATCTTTAAACTTAAACACTTAAAACTTCTCAGCAGCACAACTGGAACTCTTGTGAAGTCCTCACAATTCAGCCCAGACACAAAATAAACCTGATTTGGATTAAGGAAAGGGTTTTCCCCCCTCTGACAAAAGATATTTTTCCTATAAGCATTTCAGACAACTTTCCACCACAGGATGGAGTAGTTTGGTTTCAGCACTCAAAATGCAGTTGCTAATTTTTAAACAGATTTTGAAGAAGTTCTCCAGTTTTTCTAGGAATGTCCACGTTTAAGATGGATTTTTGGCCACAGCCTCTACAATTCCCACCAGCCCATTTCTATTGCAGGAAAGGCTCTGCCATCATTTTCCTGCAAGAACCTGCTCTAGGATGCTTAAAATTCAACAAGAAAATGATCGAGGTTGAACCATGGCATGCAAGGTTCCACCCAGTAGCAACCCTTATTTATTATATTTGGGATCAAAACTTCCAAAATTAATATTATTTTCCTTTTGGACTCTTGAGCTACAAACTAAACACAACGTACTTTTTATTTTCCTCTCTGAAATAAACCCCAAAGAGAATTCAAAAAACCAAAGAGAACTGAACTCAAGACCTGAGCAGTGCAAATTAAACAAGTGCTGTAGCAGCCTGAACATCAATTCACCTTTGCACGTTTGTGCTCCTTGGCAAATGGATTTTGTCAGGTAAGATTTGGAGGAAAAGATCTTAGAGAGACAAAAATCAGCGTCCCCAGCCCTTCAGTTCCTGGTGTAACACGTGCCACAGGAACCTTCCCAATCCAACATTTCCACGGCTGCTGAAAGGCAATGAGATCTCTCTTTACAAACCTCCTCTGTCCTCCCCGAGAAATTTTGCATGCAGAGCTCGGTGCTGGCAGGCTGGGAGGGTGATAAATGTTTAATTCACACACCACACCCAGCCCAGGCTCAGACACAGCTCCCACAGGGCCCCTGGGATCCCAGCAGCTCTGGGGGTGCTCTGTCCACACAACTCATCACCTATATGCAAATCAGGGCTAATTACCACAAATGACTCCCCACTGCACTGGATGGGGGGAAAAAAAAAAAAAATATAAAAAAAAAATCGTGTGCCAAGCTCCAGGAGAGTCTGGCTCGGGAAAATCCAAAGGTTCCCACTTTGCTCCTGGTGTTTTCTGCAAACAGCAAATAAAATAAAATAAAATAAAAATCTCATCGACAGCCATCAGTCACCCACGTCCCATCCACGGGGCTCTGGGCATGGATCCAACTGCAAGGATTTGGGGAAATGCCACTGGAAAAAGGTCCCTGGCCAGGGGGACCTCAGTGAAACTCCAAAGACCCGAAGTGTGGAGTTGAAAGGAAAAAATGGAGATTGTGTTTGAACAATGAGCTCCTCAGCTCTGTAATTGTGACTCTGTAATCCTGAATGGTTTCCCTCTGCCAGGGAGAGATGGGATTTTGGGAAGAAATTCTTCCCTGGGAGGATGAGGAGGCTCTGGAATAGAATTCCCAGGGGAGCTGTGGCTGCCCCTGGAGCAGCCTGGGACAGTGGGAGGTGTCCCTGCCCTGGCAGGGGTGGAATGAGATGGGATTTATGATCTTTGCAACCCAAACCATTCCAGGATTCTGGGATGTGTCAAAGAATTGAAGAAGCTGTGAAACCATCCATGCCCAAATGTGTCAATAACCTTATTAAGGATCAGCAATTAAACCACTCAGGTTTTAATGGTTCACCACTTCTCTTAATTGAGGAGCTGCTCTTAATTTATTCCATTAAAAATTGTCAAAATCATTTGGAGAAATAACCCAAAATTCCATTAGCACACAAACAACGATGAGACCCATAAAATGAAGGAGAAGTTATTTCAAACTAAGAAGCTTTTGGTAGCTTTCCCCCCCCTCCAGTTTAACAATGAACAAGGAACCTCATGAAAAACACATCTGAGAAGAACAGAATTTGCATGTTTTGAAGCTGATCAAGACTTGAAACATCAAAATTCAACAGCACACCCAGCCAGGTCAATGAAGACACGTGTGCAGGTTGTTTCAAAACAAGCAAATTTCAAAAAGCATAAATAAAAGATGAATGTAATGCTTTGATTAGTAAAATAAAAAAAAAAAGAATGGAAAAAAAAAAACCGTTGTAGGACTGTAAAAGGTCTGACTTTGGCAGACTTGGGCAGCTGAGTGGAGATGTTGCTGGTCTGAAATTGGGATTTGGGAGTGGAGGGAACTCCCTGGAGCTCCCAGGCCACATTTCCAGCAGCTGCTGCCACAATTCCCCTCCATAAAGGTTGGACAAGTGGATTTCAGGATATAAAAGGAGAAGAGTTGAGCTGTTTCAGAACCCATCTCATGAAGAAATTCAGTGCTCAACCTTAGAAAATCATCACTGAAATGGGCAATGCCAAAGGACAATGCCCAGAATAATATTTTTTTTTAATAATTTTAATTTTTTTTTACTTTTGATATTTCTCTTTGAGATGTTTACTGTGACAAGATCTCCCTTGAAAGAATCTAAAGCTTCCCCCCCCAAAAAAAACACCCCAAGCACGGAGCTTTCCCCCCTCACATCCACAAACACACCCAAGCCAAGGATAGAAAATCATCATTAGGAGCCACAAATTCACTGCTTAATTAGTGAAAAAAAAAAAAAAAAAAAGCATTTTGATTCTGTGCTTTAGAGGAGCACTAAAGCCCCAAATATACAACATCTCTCAGATAAGCTGCAGTGCTGCCAAGCTGAAATACCTCCTTTTATGCAAAGTTAAACTATAAAGTCAAGCAGCACCTGAGAATTTATGTTCCAGCTTCCCACAATCTGGCTCCAGGCTGATCTTCATTACAGCTCCAAAGCAGCTATTTTGAATAAATACATTCCAAACAGCCATGAATTTCAACTGGGAACCACACCTGCTCCTTGAGGTGCCTTTGAGGAAGGATCTGAGGTCACAGGATTGTTTCCACTACAGAACCCCTGATGCTGCAGGTTCTGCAAGGGCTCTGGAGAATAATGAGACTTTCAGTGCTGATCTAGAAATTAATCTGCTTGGAGAGTTCAAACTGGATCCAGCACAATCTGAAATTTTCCTGCTGAAACAAGGAACAAGGGGAAAATTCCAGGAGCCAACAGAAGCTCACATGTGGGTGGAAGATGCTGCTCTAAAAATTCCCCAGGAGACAAGAAAACACTGAGGGGTTTGGAAGGGATCAAACCAACAGGGAAAAGACAAAGAGCCCAGGAAAGGCTGCACAAGAGCCTGATGGAAAAAGCAGAGAGAATGACATAAATGACATCAAATGTAAAAAATGACACTGCCTTTCCTGAAACCTGCAATCCACAACCCAAGTTATTCCAAGCAGAAATTGGAGTGCCAGCAGGTTCTCAAAGGTTCCCATTGCTCACCCAGAGCAAGGTTTGTGCTGAAATTTCATTTTTGAGCCTCAAGCAAAGCCCAGGAGGAACTTCTGCCACTGGGAGGAGGTGGAATTGTGTGTGAACAGTGAAATCCATGAGGGAAAAAGCCTTCATGCAGCTTTCCAATATTCCTCATTTTGCCCCTAAATTATGGTTATTACATATGGGAAGAATGTTTATACTAAAAGTGCAGAAAGCTCTTGAACCCACCTGAAACCAAGCAGGGAGGAAAGGGTGGAAAACCAAACCATCCTTTAGTGGCAAATGTCACCACGTTGCAGAACTGTAAAACCCTAAAAATCCCACTCTTCAAACATCCTGAATAATTCCCACTTAGCTGCCATAGAACACAACTTAAGGTAAAAAGGAAAATCATTACAAGAGGGAAAAGACACTTGGGTCCAAGATGGAGCTGCAAGATGGAACCACAAGGTGGAGGCCCAAGGTGGAGGCCCAAGGTGGAAGCCAAAATGGGACCCAAAATGGAGCCCCAAGGTGGGAGCCCCAAGATGGAACCCAAAATGGAGCCCAAGGTGAAGACCAAGATGGAACCACAAGGTGGGA